GAGGAAAATACAAGGAGTTATATTAGGAGACAAGAGGGACAAAACAGAGTTAGGATTGGACTGATAAGTGTGTTTTGAAGCCATCATCTGGCCCATATATCAGTCCAACCCTGACAGGAATAATAGAGCAACACAACTGAGCTTAAAGCACATGGAGAATTCTATTCCAACTGACTAGTAGGGATGCCCCCAAACCTGGTTCTAAAGGAGTAAAAACCCGGAGTATTGCTGCGGTCCAGAGTTAACGGTTCTGCTGTCGCTACTTTAGAAGTTCTGGAGTGAGATGTCCTCGTCTCAAACCTCCTCTCTCTGTCTCTTTGTGCTTCACACACTCTCGCACGCACACACGCACACGCACACGCGCACACGCACACGCACACGCACACGCACACACACACACACACACACAGGCCCAGTACAGCATGAGACTCGCATCATGGCAGAGAGAAGAAAAAGATCTAAAGTGCGGCTACATTTGACTCCAGTAGAGGCTGAGAACAAACTCAATAAAACCTTAACCAGTAAGAGGAAACAGCAGCAGTTCATCACAACATGTAGCCAACAAGCAGAACATCAACCTGTTTGTCCACTGCAGGTAACGTTAGTGATGATATACGCAGTTTGATCAGACGAACAGGATAATCAGTGAAAAATAATCACTATGAGAATTGTTTAGCTGGGAATGTATTTTAAGGATTTTGGAACTTCTTGTACTGCTGCTCAAGAAAGTTTGTTTACACAAAAGTAAGAAAGCGACGTATCTTCTAAATTGTCACAAAATAATCAAAAAGAAGCAACAAGAGTATCGATAAGGAACCGAACCGATATTAATGAGAATACTAGTATCGATACCCATCCCTACGTACTACCGTTATGAACCTTGCGTTGATGGAAGAACATTGTGTTGTACTGAGAAGACAGAGAGTGAGAACCCAATGAGACCGGCTCTTTACCTCAGTGACGCCCAGCTTGCGACAAGCAGCAATGAAGTTTTCCACGTTGAGTCGACACTTTGCTGAGCTGAGTTTTGGCTGAAAATAATATAAAAAAACTGATTTAGGGAACTTCATGAAGCGCAATGATTGATGAAATGCTTTGCTTAGTATAAACAGTTCATTAGTTGGGATTAGGAATTCTTAAATAGTGGCTTTTATTTATTTATATTTAAGGAGAAAACACCTTTTATTATACATTAGTAAGAATTCTCCATGTTTTCATGTTTTGCAGTCGACTTGATAAATGAGTGGACATTTCCACACATCTAATTAAAAACGAGTCACGTCACTGGCTTGTATTCAAGAATTCACACTACGCTCAAATATGCCAATATTATATTATTTTAATGGATGTATGCTTTCCTATAACAGCCTAGATACCAGCTGTAAAGGAAGAATGTACATATTAATAATCAATGCACATTGAATTGATGTGATCAAACAGCCATGTGCATCGCCGCCACTCAGCCTCTGCTTTGAGACACAGTGGGGGGGGGGGGGGGGCGAGGCTTGATTTGATTGATTAGACGGGTGTTTTGCTAACAGCTAACGGATGCTAACCGTCTAACGGACACTGCTGAGTAGATCACAGCCGCTCTGCTGCTTACAGCTTGGCGAGTTAAATTTAGTGGTAAATTTGTATAAAGTCTCTTATATGAGGACTTCCAGCCGATTGGCTGAGGAGGTTACCTCAAAAATACTCCTCAATAATCAAAACGTTCCAGGGACTCGCCTCCTAGCTACTGGGCAAAGGTGACGCGAGAGTCTGTTGGATTACAAGCAGCAGCCAGAGAGCAACACACTCTGCTCTGTAGGTTGTTCAGTGTAAATACATGCATCTATCCTGTGCCTTTGTGTTGGCCGTGGACCTCACTAAATAAAGACCTGGAGACAAAGCTGAGACGCTAGTGCAGACATCGATTATAGATTACAATGACAGCAGGTCTGTAGAGATCTGCACCTTCTAGTTGCTTATGGATTGGACTTTGATGTTTGTGTTACTTCTTTAAGTTACGCAGCCTTGTGAAAAATACAAGACTGACGTGGAACCATTCAACAAACAAGTGATCATCACGCGAGGAAAACTGACTAATCCTTGAAAGGATGGACTCACTACTGCTGGGGAGGGAATGTGGATGATCGACACGGAGCGGGGTCGGATCTGATTGACCAGCTGACAGAGGACGGTGCCGTTGGATAAGGCCTCGCCCAGGTCCTCCGGTAGAGTGATCTTCAGCCGCGACTCCAGAGTCTATAAATACACAATAGGAAATGTTGTCATACATTTTTTGTGAAGAGAAAGTAAAGTCTGCCCTCAGAAAACCAGTGCATCAAACTAGCTAAAGCAGGTTTACCTTGCGTAGTTGCGTGATATCCGGTCTCTCTTCTTTAGGAGAACGCAGCATTGTGCGAGACTCACTTCTGCCAGACTCAACGAGAGTAAAGGCTGACCCTGACAAAAGACAATGGACAGTGTTGGAACGTCTGAAGCACTGAAGGTGTGAAGCGCGTGCCTTGTGCTGTTGTGTACCCGTGGGCTTGACGTTGCTGCGGGAGGAGGTGCGGAACAGGAAACTGTTGGGTCTCTGGGCCTGACCGGGTGGAGGGGACGTCTTCGGGGAGGAGGGCACGTCTGACACAAACATTTAGGTCAGAGTTACAGATGCACTCACACATACAACGTTTTTATAACCGTGAAGTCAAATGACATGACGCAAGAGGTTTGAACCAGGAGTGAGGAGGACACAGGATGGGTTGAAAGCTCAGGGAAGAGCAACTAAGTGCACCTTCATGTTTCTAAGATCAACTTTTATCCTCAGAATAATACAACATGGAATAAAGTAGTTCTTTACCTTTTCAGTCAACAAAAAGAGAAACACTTTTTAAATGCATTCATGTGTAATGAAAGGCCATAAGAGAGCGTATCCTAAATAAGACACACGACACAATAAACACATCCTAACTTATAGAAGGAACACCAAGTGAAACAATAAATAACCAGAGCAAGCCAACCTTCAGTGCTGTCGTTTACAATAATCAAAACACACAACGTGACTGTATTATGAGCTTAAGTTTATGTTTAAATCATCATCATCTAGATTCCGTCTGAACTTTAAAGACAACATGAAAGTCTCTCAAAGCTTCTGTGACTGTGATGAGAACTGCAGATTACAAGGTCAAGAATGAACTTTGAGTCTCATCATCATCCATGTTTCACATTGTGTGCAGCCAGTTTAGTTTCACCAGTGAGACAGAGGGAATGGTTGGTATTGAGACAGTCAGAGGAGACATCAGCTAATAAACAGCAGGTGGTAGACAGCAGGCTGAACCTCCGTCTGTAAACAGACACACATCAGTGGATCTAGTGACTGGATCTATATTACAGCTGTTCCTATACACACTTGTATTATGTAGTAAATAATACAGTAGCTCCTGTATTATGCAATGAAATAATAAAACCACTAAATGGAGCTTGGTGAAGTAGCGCGGGATCATGGGAGTTAGGATTGCATCAGTGTAATTCAGGAGGTTTTTACCACAGAGGTCTCCTCTCCAGAACAAACCAACCCCCTGATTAGAACTGATAATTCTGATTAAATCAGCTTCACTAAAAATCATCGATGCTGTTTGGTGGACACAGGAAGTTATGGGGCCGCAAGTCGAGCTGCCGCTAACATTTGCTCGGCTTGTTTCTCTGATAACAAACTCCACAGAGGGGCAGTCCAGCCCGGGAACCCAACACCCGGACCCCTCTTGATGTGCGGTGACAAGTGCTAAAATAAGTCTATTCTTTTTTAATGTTCCATATTATCCCTAAAAGTAAACTAAACTAGCTTTAAAAGAGACGTGTGTGTGTGTGTGTGCGCGTACCTGTTCTGCTGTTGGAGCGTTGCAGAAGTGCATAAGGAGACACTGAGCTCATCTGATCAGCACTCTAATAAAGAAGGAAAACAATTCAGCAGTTCAACAATGGAAGCACAGTCCAGCTGTGGCGCTCTCAGCTCTGCTCACTGGAGGAATAAGGGGACACTACTCACTGCACAGCGCTGCCGGAGGCCTGAGTGGGAGCTGCTGTTCTCTGGAGAGGCACCACTAGGGGGAGACACACACCAACGATTGATCACGACAGAAAAACACTTTCTACACCCTCAAACTTCTGTCCATTTGTAATTCAGCACAGACTGAGGAAACGCTAGGACGAATGAAGAGAGTAGAACTTGGAGAGCCACTCAAAGTCATAGGTCTCTGTGTTGTTGCTGTTTAAAAGGCCCTACTTACGCTGAGCTACTTCCTGTCTGTGGTGTGGTGGCCACATGACTTCCTGCTTTGGTGGAGGACTTCAGCAAACTGCAAAATTAGAGTTTTGACATGGAGAGCGTATAATTAGAGATGACAGACCTCTGACAGAGAGCTGATCCTTACTGTATGTATGGAACACACTGCTTTACACATAAAAGCTCAAATTCACTGTTCTACTGACACGGAGTCATGTGACCTGTGTCCAATCCATTCATACACTTCCTCTGGCATAAAGCATTGAAAGCTTCATAACACAGAGTTTACTGCTGACAAACGTTTCAAAATACATTTGAATTTGAAATCGTCGCTGCATAAAGAATAAGAGTGAGTATTGACCTGGCCTTCTCTCTCTGCTGCTGCTGACGCTCTCTCTCCTGCCAGATGAGGAGGGTGCCCGGCCTCCTCCGCTCCTCCAGGGTGGGGCTGGAGGGGGACAGGGGAGAGGAGGAGGCCGATGACGGGGGGCCCACCTCCACACGGAGGCTGGACCTGGAGAGGAGAAAGAGTTAGAGAATGCCAATAAGGCAAGGAAGAATTCAATATTATGATACAAATATGAAACACATTATTTGTTGAATTTGGCCAATCCTCATGACTCTGCCAACTCCACTCCAACTGTCACATAATGTCAGATTTTGAGGTATGAACTTGTTGCACCTTCCAGGAGTGAAATACCACCCAAATATTATAGGTTAACTAAGAGTTACTGTTGTCTGATTTGACTGACAGCAAATAGCCCAATCACAGCCTCAAACCATCGGTAACAAAGTAACAGCTATGGAAACGTCCATTATAGTGTTATGGTGAGAAGTCACAATGAAGCACTTTGTCCTGAGGCACACTGCTGGTTTTACCAGTAGAACGTTTAGACAAAACCAAACTAGTTATATAACCAAAAGCTTATTACAGAGCTGTTGAAATTTGAAATGTAATTTGGAAGTGCGCTGTCAATCTGTTCTTCCTCAAGTTACAGCACAGTCATCTCAATCATACCTATTCTTTATTTTCCCACATTCATTTGAGAGCCCTCTCCCTCTCTTCTAGTCCTACTATAGTCTTACAACAGTTGGACAGTAAATAGTAGATTTGTGATATGCGTTTGTTCACATTGTCTTTGAGCAATAAACTAACTTGGGTCAATCCTGGGAGCCTTCCTGCTTGAACTGTATGATATTTCATACCCGTAAAATATCTGAAGAAATGTCTGACCAGAGTTTGATAACCACCTCTCAAGACCCCAAAGTGTCCCCTTATAGATGCACACATCTTCTCTCCTTTTCATACCCAGAGGGAGGTTTTCTAAGAGCCAACGTCACAGTGCTACTGAACATGATGGGCATCTCATATATTTATGAACATCTTCACCGAGGGACTCAGAATGGCTGTGAATGTCTTCACATTAGTTGAGGTGAAACAGTAAAGGATGTAAGACAGGTCTTGTATCTTGAGAGTATGCTCTTCAATGTGTCTGTCTCAGAAACACAGGCCCGGTAAAGCAAACCCGCTCTTTTCAAAAGGCCTTTTGATGTTCTCAGCACCTTACATTCCACTATTGCACAGAAAAAAAACAAGGAGTTGTACTTTTTCTTCAAAGGATTTCAGGAGTCCAACTGGCATGGACTGAAAGAGCTACATAACATTCATCATACCCATTCTTATTATAGAGGTCTGACTCATCGAATGCACTCTAACTCTTCATTGGGGGAAAGCACCAAATGGTACAAAAGGAAGTCTAAGTAGTCACAGAGGCAACAGAAAACATCTTTACTATCAGGTTCAAGGTGAACTGTTGGGACCAGAGGCTTAGGCTTAGGTCAATATTAAACTATGTACGCAGATTACGTAAAGATTGTACATGAGGTGCATTCAGGTTCCAAGCACTTTAACAACAAGAAATGAGTACACGAAAAAGACTCAAGTCTATTGAAATGATTTGATAGACTTGCATCTTTATTCTGAAGGCTGGTTTGTGTAAAGTCATTGCATCATTCAAATGTAAAAGTCTGTTTAGAAAGTGCGTGTTCAGTTTCCATTTTAGGTCTCAGTATTCTATTTTTAGGAATCCCAAAGGAAATGTTGGAGGAAGATTTGGAACATCCGTTTGTTCAAGCTGATTGTCCAGTGAAGGAGTAACAGCTGAACTACATCTTCCTCAGTCCAGTTACCAGATCTACATCATGTCTTTACTGAGGAGTTACATGCTGAATGAATATTAGTCATTTGAGAGAGTACAGTTAATAAAAGTCAAAGGTTTAGAATAAGACATGCTGCTTGTTGCTCCAGAAGCTGAGAACAATGGCTCTGTGTCACATATTAATATTTATCCAATGGCTGAGACTCTGAATCCCAACAATGTAGTTCTCTTGGTAACGGAACAACAGAGCAGCATGATACAAGCTGCCTGCTGGGCTTCAGCACAAACGGACGTATTAAGATACAAGTCGTGTGAAATATGCTTTTATCAGTCGGTATCACTGACGATGGAGTTGGTACGCAGAGTATTTTATTTGTGCATCAAGGCGTTGATAGAGCTACAGGACCGCCTGCGTACTAACGTGCACCATTGGAGATTCCCCATGGACACGGCAAGAACTGTGGCTCCCTCACTTTGAAGAAGCTGGAACCAGAGAAGGTCTTTTGTTCTTGATAAGTCACTTAAATGATTAATGGATTATCTAAATCATAAGCATGCATTTCCTCCACCAAGTAATGAACTAATAGTTTCAGCACCGTATAATAGCGTGAACTTACAGTCGCTCTGACCAGCTTTGTTCCACATCAGCTTTCCAAAGATACACGGACATTTAGACAATGCCGTCATGTTGCCACATTGTAATAAATGTCTGGGCGAGTCGACACTGTTAACTTCCCAAGATAACAGCACCCACAAACACTCAACATGCAGTTTGACGGGCACTGCAAGTTATGGGAACAGAAGTCTATTGACTCTTCCCAGCTCTTCAAACACCGTGTGAAGTGACCTTGTGAAACCAGGACGCAGAGAGAGAAACGGTGATAAAACATCATCTGTCTTCATCACTTGGAGTGCCTGAGTACATAGTTTCCAACCAGAGAAGCCAACACACTGCAGAGTTCCGATGAAGAATCGTGACAGAAAGAGGCTGAGTACACTTAAAGGTGGAAAGGAAATGCTTTTCAAATATATTGCATACCATGATGGCACAAGAGCTGTAAACAAATGAGCTTGGAAGGTCATTAATTAGCAGCCAACGCCGAACGTGTCACAGAAAGCTGAGACACTTCCCTTAAAGCCTCTTGCTTATCGTCCTTTCCTCTCTGAAGAGGATGAACACATTTATAAAACCAAATGTTACCATTTTCTGCTTTTAACTGATGTTCCAAATTTGCGGAGTAAACCTTTTTTTCGTTTTTACTTCAAACATATATTCCAGTTTTTATGTGAAATCAGTATTCCAGTTTATACTTTAAACCAATAAACCAAGCTTTAAAACAATATTCCTTTTGTTGTGCCATAAATCCTATTGCCGTTTTGTGTCGTAAACTTACTATAAACAAAGCGTGCCATACAAAGGGTATGTTTTACAGGAGGGTTAACAAACCGTTTGCATGTTGTGTCCTGGGTGTGGGACGATGAAGAGCTCTCCTTCTGCTCCTGGAAATCAACGACACAATCACTAACCTTGTTGTGAGAGAACACACAAGGCAAGATGTTGAGCAACAACACATGGGTCTGAGAATGACTGGTACCAGAGGAGGTGCTGGATTCCTCCTGATCGCCTCCTCTTCTTCTGTCATACTGCTGTCAATGAAGTCCACATGCCCAGCATCCCCATTCACTGCAAAGAGTGTAGAAGGGTCTTAAGAGTTTCTCTATATGTGAAAACAAATCTACGGTTTCAGAGAGACCTACATTTTTTACACAACAATACACTTAATTACATGAACTACAGATTAAAGCATGTCTGTCCTTCCTCACCTTTGTTAGCTTCCAGAGGAGATCCACTCTCCTCCTCCTCTTCTTCTTCCTCCTCCTCCTCCAGGTTCCTCTGGTCTCTGCTGACCTCAGCCATGCGAAGGGAACGCTCTGAGAAGTCATCTGCTGACTGGACACAAAGACAGATTGGAGTCATTGATCTGAAGTAGGTTGTTAACACTATAGGATCAGTAGGCTGCATTTCATTTGTATGGTTGTTTTTGTCTAGGATGCTTTTTTCACTTGTGAGATACACATCTCTGACCGTTCATCAGCATCATCAGATCTTAAATGCAACATTAGTACAATCACATACTTCTGTTTGATCAACATATTATGAGATGATGTGGTCACTTGGGACACATATCAGGGCCGTGTACAAATGACGGAACTGTCTAAAAGAGTTTTACCTCATTCCCAGACCAGCGCTTGCTGCCGCTGTCGACACTGTTGAAGCCAGAATCCAGCCCTCCGAACTGACCTGTGAACAGCTCCTGGTCTGACAGACTGCAGGGAAACATGTCGAACACACATTAGGATAAGACACACACACACACACACACACACACACACACACACACA